GTCACAATCCAGTCGTTGTGGCATCGGCAGCATTGATAAGTCCACCCGCGGCTTTTTACCACTGGCTGTTTCCTTCCTAAATAGATCAGTGACCGTTCACCACCACCGGTTAAGAGAAAGGGAGGCCAGAGGCGCGACTCAGGCCCGCGCCTCTTCTGACCATGCATCGATTATCAACTATAGTTATCACGGAGGAGTCCACTCGCGCAACTTCGCGCTACCCTTCTACGTGGTGGGCCAAAAAAAAAGACCACTTTCCAGTCCTTGCTTCAGAGGCGATGCAAGGCTTTACACTTGTTAAATTTCTGATTGTACGTTTCCCACCACCCATATACAACAGCACATTGTACTATCACTATAATTCTTGCCACAGCGCTTTCGAAAAGCCATCGAAAGCGTTCTCGCCACGCGACCTGCTATATCGGTGCAACTGATTCAAGGAGGATTTCCCTGCCACTGTGGAACACCCCTGTCGGACTCCACCCAAACCCGGGAATCGAGGGGGTTAGGTCATGTGAGACACTTAGATATTCCGTCCTCTTCACAGACTCAACGCTCTTCCATTCCAGTTTTCGCGAAAGTTTTTCCAACGCCCTTCGATTCCATGTGGTGGCACTCAATCCTGTAGCAGTACAGAGCTAAATGTACGGGCGTACAAATGAAGGCAGAATATTCTCTCGAAGTTGCTCGCATGTAACCGTACTGGCCGCTTTCACCTTTCAGTCCGGAGGTCACGAAGAAATATCGGTCTTCCCATTCCAGGAACTTCCGGTCCATACCATCAACCCGCGCCTTGGCGACTGCGGTGAAGATGATATCCTGGACCGTAGCGACGTTGTCCGGAGCTGCTCGATGTTGGAGGTCCTTCCATTCATCAAGATGCCCGGTCTCCAGGTAACTCTCCATGGGCTGGCCTCCATTGGCAAGAAAGCTTCGCTGGTCGGGCTGGTGACGTGAATTCCAAAGGCTTTCTCCAGTCCGGTTGCGACTGGAGATGGCTTCACCTGCTCTTGCTTATCATGGAACATCTTGGGTATCTTCCGCCCTAGTACTCGTATCCACGTCTTCTGTCTGGGCTGCGATTTAACTTTACTGATATGTGATTGGACAAGTGTCTGCTTTTGGCCCCTGCCTTGTCACATTGCAAAAGGCAAGATAACTTTGTTTCTGCAGTAAATGGAACTGGAGGGCCAATATATCGCGACAAAAAACGAGACAAAACGGTCTGAAATGCCTGAAATAAGGCCCTTATTGATCGTTTTAATTAAGAAGTGGACGAGCTTACGCCGTTAGATAGATCACCGCTGACGAACAATGTAAAAAAAATTCGAGCACCACCAAGGGTTTTAGTTCAAAGATACGGCGAAAAATATTATTGAAAAAGCACAAGTTTCGCAGTTCCCGCGACACCTTTGTGGCGTGTCGTTTTCGGTGAGGCAGGCGGATGGGCCTCACCAGAGACGCTCAGAGACCGCTCTTCCTGGTAAATACGCCATGTAGAGCTTGCTCAGGGGCACGGTATTCGTTCGTGCTGTTTACGGTATTTAGCTCATTTAGCTCACAATCCAGTTTACCGTGTCCTTAGCCTTTGGTGATCGCGGGAAGGTGTTCTTAAAGTCTTGAATTGTCCATAGACTAGATTTTGCCAGTATTCGCGTAATATGCCGCGACATGAGTACAAGTACTAGAAGAATGAGCAACTTTGTCGCACACAGGGTCCAGCCACTGGTGCTGCTGCGGCGTCTACTCACCACGCGCCGCCGCCGCCATCCGGGACCAATGCTCTCAATACGTAGCAAGAGTACAGCCATCGGAGAATACAATAAACGATGAGTTTCCAGAATGGAATCCATTGAAAACGTTTTCTGTTCCGAAGATGAAGGACGGGAAAGACGAGAAAAGCATCGGTAAAAGCGTTTTCTCTCTCTTTCCATGTGCTCACATAGACTTTCTCAACAATCAGCTATTTTCAGTGCCACCACGGATTGTTGTCTCGGACGAGTCATCACTCCCATTGACAACTCGTCCATCAATCGCGTCCAGCGAAGCCAGTGCTGTCATCAGGACCAGTGTACACAACAGCCAATCCTATCATGCCAGTGTGAATCGGTACGTGCATTTTTAATGCTCTCCTCTATTTTGCTCGGGTAGAAGGGATGGGAACAATAACAAATATCTCCAACAATCCCGCAGCGAGGGATCTCAAGATGAAACCGCTCACCAGACACTCAATGCACAGCTCGAAACCTTTCACTAAAAGAGTCGTACTGGTACCAACTCTTCACTTCCAAACTATCTTAGTGAAAGCTGACTGGTGTGGAGACAGAACACTCCGCCTTATTTTGCGTGGTCTATGGGTCGTATCCCTCCCATCCCAACCGAAACTCTCACCAGTCCAGAGCCCTTTACTTCCAGCAAGCCCGTCTGTGAACAGAAAACTTTGACCCATACCAGCGGTCGTTCCCATAAGCTGCCATGCAGGCCAAAATCACCTGCTTATGTCTCTGTAACATTCTGTTGAAGTTTAATTTCGGAGCATTCCAAAGAGTTCGCCTGATGCCGGAAGTTATATCATTTGAGCCTAATAAGTGAAGTTCGAGAAAAAACAACACAGTGTTGCCCATGCATAACGGCTACTCTTCTTCCGCCTTTGCTCTTGACCTTCAAAAATGCGAGATGGAGCTACTCTCTTTGGACTGCACCATGCATTCCACTATTCCCAAGATTTTAAGCGTTTGGGAGCAAAGATAGTTGAGGGAGCCAAAGAGCAGCACGACCTGCAGCGACATGTCTGTCTTTTTGCGCCCTCTCAGCGAGTACGAGAGTACGAAGGTGGTCTATGCATTTAATCTAACGGTTCGAAAAAGCAAGGGCAGACAGGACAAGATCTGACTGGCCGTAGTTAGTCGCGCTGTCTCAATATTACCTTTCACCCTTTTCCACTACCATTGCCCGCATTATTACCATCGATCAGCTGATCATTCGAATCAAGTTGGTGCACCTGAAAAAAATCTCTGTAGCTAGCAACCGAACTATTCTCCACAATTACACCACTCCGAAAACTTTAAAAAAAATCTTCCGTGACACTTAGCTGTCACATACCGGCTATTCAGTGCCCTGATATGATAACTCGCGCCAGTTTGGCGCTACCCCCTATCTCATCAAAATCGGTGAAACCTAGCATACGAGCCTTATCTGAAATCCTTACCACGAACATCGGGCTCGTTTTCACACGTCTGGCGCAGTTGGCCCGCCAACCTAACAGGCGTTGTCTGGGGGACATTTCTTTCTCTCTTTCTCTTTTTTCTTAACGCTCGAGGAAATCGATGAAAACCTCTAAACGGGGGTTATATGACATCTTGAACAGGTATACTCGAAATTCCGAAAAGAGGGGGGCGCTGCTGCGTACGACACCCAAACGCTCTCCTGTGATCTTGCACTTCTGGTGAAATATTTTCATTTTGAGACAACTGTGGTCATGTCTTTGTCCAACCACAGAACAAGATGGCAGTTGTCTCAAAGTGAAATATCCCACGAGTAACCCGTCCTATCATGCGTTCGAAAGCCACGCCTACTCCGTCTCAGGGATAACCGAGTTATATATGACATATCGCCCTTCAGCTCGTGGCCAAGATGTAGGAGCTGTCAATCATTACTGCCGCTCTGCCAACAGCTGAGCCCTGGCGAGAATGTAATTTCTGTGCATTACAGGTATCCAACCAGCCGTTATCAACCACCATAGCACGGTCATCAATTTCGTGAAAAGGCCGTGCGCCAAATCGGCGTTTCTACCGCACAATGCGCGACCAACGACGAAAACTGATTGCCGTTTGTGATGAGGATGTCAAATAAACCCTCGTAAACAAGTTTAGGAAAAGGTGGCCCGGCCCCAAATGGCCTGCAGCACCAAAAATGAATGTTATAGCGAAATCAGAGCAAGGAACAACATCTATAGGCTGAGTTAACGAGGAAAATTTTCGAATACTTGGAGTTGTAATAGTAGCTCGCTGTAATAGGAGCAAAGAAACCTGGAGGTCGAGGCTGACTGATGTGGCAGCTTTACTTACCACTCGCGCATCGCCGCGCCCTAAAAGCAGCATGCCTTAGCCCTTTTACTGAACGAACAGACACGGAAGAGAGCTAGCCTAAAAGACTGGGAAGTTTGCCCCTTACCTTCATGGGTGCCTAAAAATTTAGAGCGCGAGCCAAGGTTCAGTTCCAGCTAAACAAAAGTCTATGAGACGTCAGCTTATTTTTCGATTCCTAGTATATCAGCGGCGGCCAGCAAAGTACGGACCTAAAGAATTACCCAGAGCCCCAGCTGGATTACAAGGAAAAATCGCCACAATTGCGGTAAATTCGTTGGCAAACTCATGAAAAGAGAACCGGACCTTCTTTTCGAATATAACCACATTTTCCAGATCGAGAGCAGTACGTGTGTCCTTCTTGCTGGTTGCTGCTTACATAATTTGCTGGTTACCGTACAATTTGCTGAGTCTCGTTCACCTCATCGACAAAGAATTCTTAGTAACACGTTTCATCAGGCTAAGCTTCAACATTCTCCACTTCCCTTCAAACTAACGACTAAACCTTCCATTTTCAGTTTTATTCCCCTTTCACGAACTCATGGTGTGTGTTCAACTCTGCGTTCCGTCAACCCGGTACCTCTACGGCTTGTTTAGCCGTTCAGACAAAATACGAAGACGAAATCACGATTAATTCTGTATTTCTCGTAAATGGGGCAAGCCTATAAAAGCACGGGTCAACGTTGATCTCCAATAAATCGTTATTCACATAAAGTTTCATTCATTCGCATGGTAGACTATAAACAATGTCACAACGCGCTAAAACACTATCCGACAGCGACACTTGCAAACCACAAACTGTCACAATGCCGCTATATGAAAGAAGGAACGACACATAGACATTTCATTAAACAAATATCTAATAGACAACAACAAACACGTGAAGGGAATAAATTAAAGATATATATGAACAATTTAGAAGAACATGGCAGCCATGCCTCCCATTTCTTGCTGTTCTTTGACAAAGATCTCGAAATATTGGTAGATAATCGTGACAGCGAGAAGAATACCAGTTCCACTTCCTATAGCTCCCATGAAGTCCGCAGTTACGGAAAGGGCTCCAATGCACAGACCACCAAAAGCGGCTGCCGTTGGGATGTACCGGTTGAGCTCGTGGATCATCGACTTCTCTCGGTGACCGCGCATTACCATCTGCTGCTCCTTCAGTTGCTTGGCTACGTCCTTCGCAGAAGAGCCAGACACATCGATCCATGTCTTGGAGAAGAACGCACATGATCCAAGCATGAACACGATGTAGACAATGCAGTGGATAGGGTCCTCCAGCACATGAGACAGTGTATCAGGTGGCGAGAGATAGTAGCATATACCTGAAACTCAGAAAAGCTCATTATTTCAATTTTAACATCAACTATAAAGGGGAATATGTCTGAAGTCTCAAAGGATAAGTAATGTCACGTTGAACTATAAATTCTTCCCCTGATGAAACAATCCCTTTTTGGATGCGGCACGCTAATTTCAGTGGCTTAGGGAATGCGAAGTGACCTACACACGACAAGCAGAGCCAGCCCAGCACAAGTCACTATCCTCCCATACATTCTGGGACCGATAGGAGACGGCCAAGACAATCGCAATTTGCCGCAATCATCGCGCGCAGTCTACCGCGCGGTGGCGCTAAGAGCCAGTGTGCATCAGCTCGTCGGCTGGAGCTGCGAAACCCATATTATATTATATTTCGGTATGAGACAGAACTTCTTGGTGGCGCAATATCGAATTTTCTCGCCCCTTCAACACTCATTTTGAAAGGCCAGGCAAGACAACTCGTCTTTCGGGTGCGGTAACGCTCGCCACAACCACCAGCGCGGCATATTACGATTGTCTTGTCACATACCAGGGGCCGATTTGCCGTCCTCGAAGGGTAAGGCATGGTTTACATGAGCGGGAGCCGACCCGAGGATTCGAGCTCCGCACCGCGCGCATGGTAAGCGTACCCCTTGCAACTGCGGCTCGTGTCATAGAAGAAACAGCTCAAAAAATAATGATAAGACATCCGCACCTCCAGTGGGGTAGCTACGGTAGCTTCCAGAAGCATCTGACCATGTTCCAAGAAGGTTGACGAGGAAATTTCCTCCAAACTTGGCTGCGAGCATCTGCAAAATTCAGGGGATAAAGACGAATCCATTCAAATTAATAGGGAAGAATAAAAAAACAAACCTGCGAAATAACATAGAGGTTAGAGACAAGAGCGGACTGGAGAATGATCGGGATGTTGGAGGTGTAAAAGAGCTTGATAGGGTAGCTGCTGTACTGTCCACGATACCGAGCGGACTTGATTGGGAGATCAACACGGAAGCCCTTAAGTTGCACCATAAGCAAAATTACACAGAACTCAAATAATATCAAGTACCTGGAAGTAGATAACAACACCGAACACGACGAATGTAGCCATCAAATTCA